ATTATAGTGAACAACTATTACAGACTTTGAGATGGTCTAACCACATATGGATTCACCCTTAATTACTTTCAGACATGAAACAAACTGATTCACTGCTACACAGTAGCCTTAAGCAACAACACAAAGAATATAACACATCATTTACTTGAAATTGTGAATGATATAGGTCCTTCACTTGTCCACACACAAGCAACACTACCCAAGTACATGGCTGGAACAGCAATTTTTAAACAAGCATGAACATGCATTAAGGAGCATCAAAGAATGGTCAACATCATATGGGAGAGGGATAGAGGATGCAAACTTAGTGACTGTACAAAAAAGTCACATAAGATAAAATACAAACAGGCCTATAAGCAAACACTGTATAAAGAATACTATCAATCTTCCCTATCCTTGGACTGACATTCCCTAAATGGCAAGAATAGAGAATGACCTGTCAGATGACCAACTTACAAACATGATATGAATTTAAAAGTTTCATTCTTGCAAGTCCCTCTTTACAATGTATCTACATAACTCCAAAAGTATATTTCTCATCAAAAGTTTACATGCATATTACACACACAATACAAGTGTACAATGTGAAAAGAAGTACAGCTAAAGAGCAGTGAAAGCTACGAAGTAATTTTTAATAACTTTACAAGTTGAAAAGAAAAATAAATTAAATTATTGCACGAAATATTTATATACAGAGAGAGAGAAAATGTGTACCAAGATATTGTAATACAAATTTCACATAGTAATAAAAACATTAAAATTTACTGTGTACTGTACTTTTTACTTAATAGTTAGTCCTATTAAATTGTTGCACGAAATATTTATAAACAGAGAGAGAGAGAAAATGTGTACCAAGATATTGTAATACAAATTTCACATAGTAATAAAAAAATTAAAATTTACTGTGTACTGTACCTTTTACTTAATAGTTAGTCCTATTAATGCACTACTTCATTCAATCCACAACAAACTGTGCAATTCTTATGATGTGAATGCCTCTTCCAAGCTGATGAGGCATGATTATAATTATATTTGTCATAAGACATTAGTACTAGGCCTATTATACTGTTTAACATCAACAACTTTATCTAGTCCATTAGGGATTTTCAAGAATTAGAAGAGTTTATTACTATAGTATTACAACCACACTATGTTTGCCATATCCATTGCTAATCACATGTTCTGTTCAATTGAGGACTCAGTCTGGCTGAGGCACAACAAACAACAGTGGTAGTTTGAACACTACTTTTATAAGCCATTTGTTACAACAACAATTGTTATTGTGTGAACATGTTTTCCAAGCTGGCAAAGCATGATTATAATTATACTTGTCATGAGACATTAGTATTCGGCCTATTATATTTTTAAAATGTAAATTTTTTTTATCTAATTCTTCAAGAGTTTTTCAAGAATTAAAAGAAGTGTATAATATTAGCATTTCAACCACTGTAACATTGGTGGAATGATACTAACCTGTTACACCATCACAGTTTACAGCTGTAATATATTGAATGGAGATGACCATGTACCTCATGGTTTCTCATAGTTGTTTGAAGAATGTCACTTTTTATGCATCCTGTGAATGCAGACAGAAAGTTTTTTTCCCATGAAATTGATTATTTTGCACCCAGTATGCAATTTTTTGCATTCATGTGATCACTCACAGGTTACAGTCCTTAACATACAGCATAATATAGAAGGAACTCCATCTGGAAAAGCAATGCAAGTCACAGGTACACAAGTGTTTCCATGTGGTCTATTATTGAACTATCACATACTTAAAGCAGCTGGAGAATGAAACATATATTCATGCTATCTCATAAAGATATATTGCTCAAATCACTTGACACAATATCTATGGATTTTTATGTGACTAGATTGTTGAAATGGGTTCTGGAAAACCTTTTTCCTCATACTCTAGACAGATTATGGAATGTTTGAGGGAGAAGCAGGGCTTGACATTAACTTTTTATCCCGAGAATGAAACAGATATTCATGCTATTTCAGAAAGATATATTGCTCAAGTCACTCAACACAGTATCTATGGATTTTTATGTGACTGGACTGTTGAAATGGGCTCTGAGAAACTTTTTATCCCACTTGTCCCTTCGGGCAACTGACCATTAAGATTTACTTGCCCAGTTTCAGTAATTATTGTATGTTGGTTATGCTAAATAGTATAACAGATAAAGGATAATGATCATCTCATACGAAATTATTTTTTTAACTTGCACTGGCTTTGTTAGATTGGTAACTCTTAAGATGTGCTAAATCTGTACCATTTTTTATTTGCAATTTCAGAAGTATCTGATATAGGGTGAGTGGCATCTCTCCACTTATTACACAATAGGTAATGTTAAACATATAGGAAATTAAAGTTTTGTTTTTTCTCCAAGCTTTCTTCATGCATGATCATTTGGTCCTTAAACATGTTTATTTGCTGTATACTTACGGGTTTTTGATGAGCCTCAGCACATAATAAGTGTTTGGGAGATGCAAAATGAGACCTAATGCTGTCTATTCTGTAGGTTTTATTACCACTTGTAAATGATGTTACACCAGCAATCTCTTTAAATTCAGAGCAAAAAGTACATATCATTCCATTCTCTGAATCTTCAAGTCCATCAAAATCATTTTTCCCATGAGTCCAAAAAATTTATTTTCCCTTTTTTTTTCATCATCCTTTTTCCTTTTGTTAGCTTTCTTAGTGTCAGAAGAAACTCCTTTGAAAAACCTAGCAAGAGTTAACTGAGATGCCATCACATCCCATATGTATTCAAATAAGAAACCTTATCTTAATACTTGTTTTTCTGGCACAATTGCTAGGCAACCAGACCTAAATCAGGCTCAGTACCACCACCTTTACCATTACCCAATAGTAATATAACCCTTATATGTAAAAAAATGTCACTAATACCAAGATTTGGATTTAAGTACGTGAAAAACAAAAACCATTCTTTAATATTTTATTTTTTTACCAATTCACATTATAATAGATAAAACATTGTAATTTGTTTTTATTTAGAATATTGCGGAGATAGCAATGAACAACCATAAGTCAGTCACGTTTCAACGTGTGTGATTGACTATATCAAAATATCTTGACGTGTTCTAATTGGTTGGTTTTTATAGCGCTGCTAAATGTAAAGAGGGGAAAAAAATGCTGAATCAAAAAGCAGTAAAGAAATATCATAACAGAATTTTATGTCAATTAGAATCAATTTAAAAAAAACATTTCTTTTCATTCACTGCTTTAACACTTTAACCCTTTCACTGCACAATTAATTTCCAGGCTGGTCCTCAAAAAAGATAATTTGTCAACAAAAAAATAAAATCATCGATTTGACTTCCTTTATTTTTTATTAAATTTGCAACATAAAAAGGCATTGTATTTTCTATATCTGACATTAATTATCCTTGAAAACTAGGATGGATAGTGAAATTTTTTGATTTAACTTACAAAAATAAGGAAAATAGGATGAAAAGTGTTCTTCAATAATTGACAAATTATTGGCATCACTACGTCAATAAGAGGTCAAAATCATTACAAAATATAAAGATTTTAATAAAGATATAAAGAAAGTGTCTTCATATATGGTAATTACATACAAATTGTAAATTACAAATAACTAAGTTTCTTGAAAAATATATAATACTCAAAATACTATATACAAAAATATATTTCATTTTGCAGCACACAGATGGCATAATGCACACAAACACAGAGAATGTTTCAAGGATGCAGGAATGTTCCTATACATCGCAGAAGAGGGAACTTTTTTTGGTAGATGTGGAATAAATCTGAATATCGCCATCACCAGGTATAAATGTTTGTTTGGATATATCCAAACATCGCAGCAAAAGGGTGAACTTACTTTCTTGATTGAGCAAGTATGATTTTTCAGTTGTCCAAACAGAGATTTGATCTTGTCCCGGGCAATCAAACAATCATTAATGTCAAGCTGTGAGGAATAATGTGCTTTGGACATAACAGCCTGAGAATGCAGTCGTTTGCAACTAACATTATGCTGCAGGGCTGAAGCCAAGACATGGCCTTCTGACAGAGCATGACTGAGTGTGGTGAGGCTCCAACATAATTTTGATGTGATGTACTCAACCTCTGGACTCCACTCTGAGACTTTTAAGCTGTACTGTGTTAACCTTATCCAAATTTAAAACAACATCTAACATGATAGTAAAAAATTAATTTTGATAAGAATTCTATTTTAAAACTCTATAATTTAGATAAAAATTTAATGTAAATTTTTTTAAATAATTAAAGTCTTTTTTTTTTTCATCAGTTTAAATTTCAACATCTAAATTTTTTGATCATTAAAATAAGACAATTTAAGTTGCAGACTTTAGTTTACTACTTTAGTACAAAGCTTTATTAGAATGGCTCATCAATTTAAAACTACAACCCTAAGTTGATCAAAACATATTTTGGTCCCATAATAAATATAAATGGAACATAGAAAATATTGAGAATTTACTTAATATATTAACCATAACAGCAAACCTTAATTCTTCCCATTTCACTTAAAGTAAAACTAATATTACTAATGATGGTACTGTTTTACAACAACATTTCTATGATAGAAGCCTTCAAGAAAGTGATGTTAATATTACATTATCAGGGGTCTATAAGGTGAAAAACACGATGAAACAATCTTGGGGCCCCCAGTGGTTCAGCTTTATGTCTGCAGATTTACAATGCTAAAAATCGGGTTTCCATACTCATGGTGTGCACAGCACAGCTTTGTGCTTAATTACAAAAAAAGAGAAGGAAGGGGGGACATTTAATTTGATGGCTACAACTTCTTCACAAAATAAAGTGTTAAATTCTGAGCAAAATTAAAATAAGACAGACTGAAAACAAGTGCACAGGAACTTCCAAAAACACACGAAGCTCAGTCAAAAAATAAAAGTTCAACCAACCTAAATATACCGAGTTAAATTCCATAATATGACACTAAATACATGATAACTAAAATTCCTACCTCATGGATGCCAAAATGAGCATAGGAGTCAAAATAATAATCCTTGGAAGTCATTTCTTCTGGTTTGTATGTAGACAATCCATCCATTTCTTTCTGACACCTCCAACAATATTTCCCAGATTTCATTAATTCTGGGGTAGAATTACAATCTTCTGATGCCATTTTTTTTTCTGTAGTTCCCTCTGTGGTTGATACCTGAGTAAATTTAATTAATACCCAACTTAAAACAACACACTATTATAAATATATATATATGAACTGGTTCAAGACTTTTGTAATTTCAACCATATTAAATAAATAACTTCTTAAAAGTTTCATGCTACTGGAAGAAGTTAATAGTTTACACACCACTCAATGAGGTAGAATTCCTGATTACGCATGTACATGTATTTGTTGATTTTGCAGATGAGCTTCCAACTTGCTTCACCTTTCTCAGCAAAATAATGAATGAATCAGCAATGGTGGTAAACTGAACAACATAAGACTCAATAACTTTTAAGTACCTTTCAAATCACCTTTTCCTCAAGATGTTAACATATGCCACAGTACTGGCTGTATACTAGAAAAAGATTGGATCAACACAAATGAAGAAACATAACATTATTTATCACGAAAATAGAAATATTTATGATAAGTCTGTGAAAGAGTAGCCAAATCACCAGATGCCCAGTCACGTTTTGTCATTATACTTTCATTACTTTTCTTGTAGGACATGTATATATATTTTTTTTTTTATATATTTTTAAAATAACTTTCAAATTACTTGTCTCATTGCCATTAACCCTTTCGATATGGGTCTATAGGTGAAAGG